ATCACTTTGTCTTGCTGTTTTCAACTCCTAATATAGTAAAATCCTTCTTATGGGGACCCCCAAAAAGGTACCCCTAATTTTGGGAACTCCCCACATGGTTGCCTAGCTTGCAGCATCCCTTTGGAGCTTGCCCTGCTAAGGAAAGGGATCCTTCACCTACGGTGATGGCCGTAGCTACGAAGGCCGCGTCAGGCTGAAGTTGGTGCATCTGGGCATGAATACAATATAATATAATATGATATAGTAAAATATGATATAATTTAGTATGATACTATGTAACATAATATTGTACTATACAATATAATATAGTATCATATAATGTAATCTGCCAGGTGATTTCTTTGAGGATGTCAAGCACGGCGCTGCTCTAATTTGCAGAGGGCGGCTGTATGGACAATGTTCTAGTTTGATGCGTTTGAACACTTGTGACGTGGTACTAAGGGATTGGCGTATTCCGCTGGCCAGATGGAAGGACATAGCTGCCGTTTTGCCACGCAGCTTCGAGTTTTCAGTTGGAGTGCAGTGCATAATTTTCTGCAATCCGGACCCTGACTGGGGCTGGAATTTGAAGTCATATCAACGGCACTCTGCGCAGGAGCTACAACGGTGAGTGGAGGAATGGAAAGCGCCATGGCCGTGGCAAGCACGTTGCTCAGTCCCACGACGAGCCATTTGACCGCAGAGTACGGCCAGCAGTTGCAGGTACACTATGTCCAACCATCGGTCGAAGAATGGCTTGTTTGAGGCACAACTGACGACAAACTATGAACTCCCCACCACCCACGATCGCCAGCGCCCCTGCCGCTGCCGCCAGCGCCAGCAGCCCAGCAGTGGCAGCGGCAGCTGACGCCGCATCAGCCGCAGCAGCAGCGCGCAGCCCCGCAGGCAGCGGCAGCGGCAGCGGCACCACCGGCACCACCACCAGCACCGGCACCTGCGCCGACGCCGCCGCCGTTGGAGCCACCGCCACCGCCACCGCCACTTGCAGAGTGCTTGCTGCAGTCATCGCATGTGCAGGATGGCAACTTGGTCAAGTGGGAGGACTGAAGCTGTCTACGCACAAAGTCAAGGCAAGGAGTCAGGACCCCGCATGGTCGAACGTATTGTTTGAACTCGTCCCTGCACCCCCCATGAGACCACAACTGATGAAGATTGGCAAGAACCACGGCACAACACGATCATGTGTGACAGGCCTGCCGAAACCCCTGCTCGTGTTGGCGGCTGGGTGTGACCATCTAGCTAGTTGCTGCTGAATTTCTGTTTCTGCATCAGCTGCATCAGTTTCACTTGAAGTCGTTCAGTGGTTTTCTTGTACATGCAGGGCTGTTCAGCTTCAGCATACATTGAAGAGCGACTTCTCAGCCGATGATTTGGCAAAGGCCTACTTAATAATGAGGTGCCTTACCATCTTAGCAGCAAGAAGGCGTATTAATGTGTTGATTTCAGATGTGGGGACACTGCCTGCTCCACAGCTGAGCTGATGTCTACGAGTTAAGCTCCCACCTCACAACACCTTGACAGACAGCAGATGCTAAGCATCTCACATGCCCTCCTACGAGAAAGTGCTCCATCCATTTTGTCAATTGGCGATCGTCAGCGTGCAAAGGGCGTGCACCAACGACGGCTACTTCTGCCTCAGGCGATGCGCACGGCCTACCGAGAAACCGCCAGACCAGCAGTCCAGTCCTGGCAGCTCGCTGACTTTTTCTTCTCCTGTGTCACGGGGTTTTGGTTGAAATTGTTCTTGGCTGCGGTGAGGCTGGAGAAGAGAATTGGCCTGGCCAGCTTTGACAGATCGTGCCGAGCCAGCCCTGTACAATGGACTGAGTGGGAGCTGGTGACTTCGCAGAGGTATTACTACACCGTAGATACCAAGCAGAAGATGTTCTATTCGGCGATCACAGCTGATTTAGAGGTGCACCGCTGAGCTCTCCCGGCTTTCGTGCTTCAGTCTCACCATATAGAGGTCTCCCTACATGAGCTATAGTCTAAAATCCTTTAGAGGATCAAAGTAGACGGTTTTTTTGGGGGGTTATTAAGGGGGATGCTAGGAGCGTAGACTATAGCTCACATTCATCGCAAGTTCCAGTTTGCCGACGCCTAGTCATCCCCTTATATCCCCTTGCGTCAGATGGGCACGTAACACATCCCACCAACCTTAAGGTGTACACTACCGCAATTATTGGTATTGGTTGTTATTAGTAATTCATGGCATTTTTATTAGTGCTTAACATGACTCTTTTCTTGGCCAAGGCGTCTCGCTTGGCAGAGGCTGGCTTCCAGGATGTGAGGACGGTTTGTCCAACACATTGTGCAGGTAGGCAAAGAGGTATTGCATGGTTTTTTTACAAGAGATTTCGTGCCTGCCCTGTGATTGATTCTATGCGGCTTCTTTAGAAATTCATAGACATCATCTGGGGATTTAAGATGGGAGTTCTGCACACCCTTATGGATTTGAATTTGAAAGTTGTATGCAGGGAGTGCGGTTGAGGTTGTTATGCCGCGCTTGTACAGGGATATGGGATTCAGGCGCGCGGTGGTGGCTGGAGGGCTTCTAGAGGGATACTTGGGCTTTGTAGGTACAGCAACGTAATCAGGACATGCTGGAGTCATCTGTAGCTCGGCGAAGCGTGTCGTCGACCTCAGGATACGAATCTGCAACATCATCAATTTCTTTGACATCAAAACCAAGCGGATGCCTGAGCGGAGCAGACTCAAACTCGAACATGGCTTGGGGGGTATACGTAAAGATAGCAAAGATAACAATGGTAATAAGAATACTAAGAAGAATAGTAATGATACATGGGTGGTTGTCAAAATTATGGTCCCTTTTTTGGGTCCCTACTCTAGTACGGCACCTAATATTTAGGGTACCCCAAAAAGGGACCATGATTTTGACCAGCACCCACATCCTTTGACAGAAGCGCAAAAGCCTCGGAGTCTAAGGCCCAAGGCCGCTCGAATAAACGCTGCAGTTATTCGCCTTCTTGAGCGCCCAACACCCAGAAGCGATGAACGTATGATGACATTATAGTACTATTGATACGAATACTACTAAGAATATTGAGAATGATATTATAGAACTGATAATAGAGTACTACTATGCTGATAATAATATTGTCGTGCTGATAATAGAATACTATTAAGAATACTGCGAATAATATTATCGTATTTTCAAATCCTCGACTACGACTAATACTACTGATAATGTATTATAGTACTAGTAATAGTAGCCTAGAGCAGAATCCCAGGAAGTGCCAGTCAAGACGTTGACATTATGTCACGCACTCCGAATTGTAATAGCCCCAATGGTACTAAAGATAAGACTAGGAATACTTCTACTAATACTGATGATAGGATCACTACTACTGCTACTACTGCTACTACTGCTACTACTGCTACTACTGCTACTACTACTACTACTACTACTACTAACAATAATAATCATCATGTAGCATGGGTATCTACGGGTGACATCGGCTTGTAAGGGTTCTGCTGACATCTGTTTGTTTTCAATTAAAAGCAAAAACTAAGAACTTCAATTTTCTTACCCTAAACCCTAAACCCTAAGCCCAACAGCATATGCTGAAGGAGGAGATGTTTGGCGTGCGCAGTTGCTGCTGAGCCGTGGAGTGGCTGTCGGCTCAGACTGGAGCTCTGGTAGAGGTTAATTGTGTAGGATTTAGGACGTGGTGTTTTTGGGGTTTAGGGGGTTAATTGCGTAGTATTGCAAACGGGATACTATACAGTCCCGAGAACCAATTATGATTCTATCTAGAGTGTTTTATGATGACTCGATTGGGAATGTCTCAAACAAGCACAGTCCATACCTACCTGAGCCAGAGTCAAAGTTGCCGTTATTGTAGAGTAGTAAGGGTGGTTGTTCAATGGGTAGAGAGATGTTAAAACTACTGCAGAACGACACGGGGCACCCTTAAAAAACGATACCCCAAAATGATACCTCCCAGACCTGCAAAACGATACCACAAACCAGTAAGTTTGATGCCAGCTCACCTGATGTCTTTTCGATTTTGCTACTTGGTGGCGTTTCGAGGCTTCGTTGTTTTAAATAGTCTCCATGTTCTTTTCCATTCCCTCATTCACTACTACCGGCCATCAAGTGGACTCAGCCCCAAAACCCTCCATGTCCCCCTACACCTCCGGTTTTCATGTTATTTTCTGTGACCCCCCGAAAACCACGCTTCGCCATGTGATTCTCCATTTTCATCCTAATCCTTACATCCCAAACCCAAAATCCCAAAACCCAAAATCCCAAAATCCTGTTCCCAAAACCCTGAATCCCAAAACCCCAATCCCCGACCCCAAAACCCTCCATGGCACCCCAAAGCCTTAATCCCCGGCTCTCAGGCGCTAGCTTTCAAGAAGCCGCTTTCATCCATGCGAGTAGGCCTGGCTGGCCATGCTGCTGGTTCAAGGGTTTGAGGTTAGGGTTCAGTCAGGGCGGGCAGCTGCAGATATGGGGAATCCTTCTGAGCCCTGCAATCTTTTGAAAGCCCTTCTCAGTTCTTTTGGAAGGCTTCTGAAATGCCTCTGAAACATTCTGAAACCTTTCTGAAATCCTTCTGAACTCCTGTATCCCTTCTTAAAACTAGCATTCAGATTTGTTTGGGGATTCCCCCGCTAAATAGGGTCCCGTGCTCGTTTGGGGAGGATGGACCGGTGGATATTGCAGTCCATGTTGGGGTCCCCTGTTTTTGAAACTGCTGTTGCTGTGGAGGCTGCTGTTGCGTGCCAGAGCTGTAAACGCAACATCATGGCCAGCTGATTGAGGCAGTTGCATTTTCGACGCGTCCTCTGAGCATAAGCTCTATGGACAGGCTCCCGCATATTTTGTAGATACCTTGAGCAAGCTCAGCGGATTGAGCCCATTCAGGGTTTAGGGTTTAGGGGGTTTCCCAAAAAATTAGGGGTACCCTTTTGGGGGTCCCTATAATAAGGTCTATAATACTTCAGGGTCTATATTGGGGTCCCCCTATTTTGGGAAACCCCCACATCTCGCTTGCAGCCGAGCCCTTCTTCATGCCTTAGACGATGCCTATACGTTAGCAGTCGCTGTTTGCTTGGTTATATCGGGGTTACATGGGGGATAATGGAAAAGACAATGGAAACTACTATTTTGGGTTATATTATAATGTAATAGTAATAAGAACAATAATAGTAATAATCATAATAATAATAACAGTAATAATAATAGTCATAGTAATGTGTTAGCAGTCGCTGTTTGCTTGGTTTTCATGGAATGGCTGACGAGCAGCTGCACGTGTGCGATCCGGACAGCATTCTTCGCCCAAAGCTGCTATGCCAGAGTTGAGAGGTCGCCCTTTCTTAAAGTAGGGGTCACCACATAACAGGCTAAGTTGCTAGGATCCTAATGAAGAACACTGCGCAAAAGGGAGAATTCTGTGAACCAAGTCTCCCTTTCCTTTGGTTACACCTGGGCTGTGGCACTTAAGGTTGGCAGTCTTGCGTCAACGCCCGAAGCTGGCAACTGCCCTGATTTCCATCTGCGGTGAAGCTGGGCACGGCCCAGGCGCATCCCCCCAACACCCTAACCCCAAACCCAATACCCTAAACCCTAACCCCAAAACCCTAAACCCAAACCCTAAACCCTAAACCCTAGCCCCATACCCTAAACCCCCTACTGTTCTTCAAGGTTATAGGCCTGACTTGAGGGCTGGTTATGACAAGGAACTACATGGGGAGATGGGGAGATATAGGGGGACCCTGGCCTCCACGTGTACCGTAGCAATGGGAGCCGAGCTGCTTTGTCAACCGTAGGTTTCCTGGGCTGCAGCCCAAGTTCATGATCGCATGATTAGAATGTCAGTGCTTTTCTTTTTTTCGCTGGTGTGGGTTATTGTGGGTTGCAGAGCTTGCAGTCTCAGGAGTTCGCCGTTTTTAGGGGCTGAAGGGTTTTTGTCCTAGGAGTACGTACTTTGGAGCTCAGGGGTCTCAGATGTTGCGTGAGTCAGTGAGGGATGTGCGCTGCAAGGAGTTGTAGTGGCTCAGAGATTCCGACCCTTACATGAGACGAGGTTTTGAAGCACATGGAGCTGAAGCATTTTTTCCGGAATTTCTGCTGTCAGTGTCAGATGTTCAGGCTCTGAGGCGTAAGGGTTCCTATCTCTTGTTGCTGATTTTTTGGGGGAACTCTTACGGATTGGCGCCGCGAACTCTGGGTTGTGGGGACGCCCAACCTACTAGTAGTGACCACAACGCATACTGGAGATCTTATAGTCTTATAGGTTCGCAATGTCCACTATGAGTAGGTCGGGAACATCACCTGGACCTAAATGATCTACATAATCAGTTTCCATTTTGTTTTCCATTATCCCACTATTACCCCATTATAACCCCACTATATTCTAGTAGTTTCCATTTTATTTTCCATTATCCCACTATTACCCCAATATAACCCCACTATATTCTAGTAGTTTCCATTTTATTTTCCATTATTACAATAGCGCAGCGCTTCTGCAGGACATGTTTTGAACATACTTCGGAATGGCCACGTGCGAGTCAATGTGTTCCACCACAATGCAGCCATCTACTGCCACACGGAAGCATGTTCAGTGCCATGATGGCTTTTGCCTTGCAATAACAGCTCGTTTTAGCTATAATGAAGTGCAGAGCGAGATCAGGATCATGAAAGTGGATAGGACAGTTCAGGATAAAGGTTACCTTGAAGGCTAGTAGCCCCACCACACTGCACTTTTGCAAGCAAGTCTTCTGACACTCCACGGGAACTTACTTGAACCTGAGGCTACCGCAGTGGGCGGTGGCTGGAGGCAGGCGAGATGCTTCTGAGATGGGTCCAGTGCAAGGGGCTTCTGTTTTTTTGTTGTCATGGGTTCTACTTCTTTGGACTATCTTCTGTTGTACCATTTGGGTCATTCCCCCTCCCAGTACCTGTCCTTAAAGGGGCCTATTAAGGGGGTTCTTATAACTCCTATAACCCATTGCGGTAACAGTTACTGTAAGGGGGAATGACCCAAAACATTCTAGATTGCCAGCATTTCAATTTCTTCTGAGAAGCTTTTACACGACCTAATTGAAGCCAGACTGCACTTCTTTGGCGCGGATCTCCTTTAAGTAGGAGGTGTGGTTCTCCAATGGGAGGTAGGCTATGCAGGTAGCCAGCTAAGCGTATGGAACTTTTTTGTAGGTATAAGCCCAACATTTACCCTGCCATAATGTAGTAGTTTCAATTGTCTTTTCCATCATGTTACCTCTATTTTCCCCTTATTGTAGATTGGGTCTGCATCTCTGCTTGATGAGGAAGGACTTGGGGACTGCAAGATGGAACCCTGCAATCGCTCCACCCCACTGTTCAATGCTTCCTCTGCAGGAGCGTAAGGAAAGTCTCAATTCTAGCTCTCTAGCCTTGCTAGGCAGATGGGGTGCCACAAACAACAACGAGATATCAAGCTTCCAGTGCTCGATGTGTTTTTAAAGCCAAAGGAACCTTCTGCAGGGATGACTGCTCCCGAGGCTACTTTCCATGTCGCACTACAACACTTCACCGAACACCGTCACCTGCAACACTGTGCTGAATTCGTTTGACGTTGCCGGGAAATGGTCCATGGCAACTGTTCTCTTCGATGCCAGCGCAGCGGTTGGCCTTGATGTGGTGAGCTTCAACACAGTGACCAGGACTCATTCAGACATTACAGTCCACAGGGTGCCGTGTGTGTTTGCAATTTCGGCTGTTGCTTCCAAGCTTCCTCGTTGCGCCTCCTGAGGTTCTCTCAGCATATTCTCGTAGTGCTCTCTGGTGCTCTACCGTTGACTTGCTTGAGAAAATGCGCAGCTCGTTTCCAGTTCAGCTTTCTTGCTTGAGGAGTGGTTGCAAGGAAAGAGTCTTGACAGTCTTAGTCCTGGTGCTGTTGGATGTTTCTGAGATGCTCGCCGTCAACCAGCAGATGCAATCACTTTCAACTCCACTGTAGCTGCGCTTGCCCGACGAGGATGAGTCTGAATGCGAATCCTTTAAGTTTTTCCTAGCACGTCTTTGCGGAGCTTGCAAACTACGAGGACTTTGGACCAATGCCCTGGCTTTGGCTGCTGCCCTCAGGCGGAAGTCCAGGCGAACTCAGGCCTTGAACAATGCAGGTGCCGTGTTGAAATAATTGATAAAGAGCCGGGTGTCACGCAGTGCTCAACAACATGCAGGCCATGCTGCGGTGCTGCATGGCATGGAGCAGAAAGGGTGTTGGCAGGCAGCAGCTGTTCATTTGCAGGCGGCTGTTGCAGAGGGGGTCGAACATCAGCTGCCGCTTGTTTGAAGCATAGGGCTTGCAGCTGCCGTCTGCAGCAACTGCTTCCCTTTCCTTCAGAAGCCTAAATGGAACCTTAGTCTTGCCTGGCAGAGGAGCGCACTGGGTGCAACCACATCTGCGTGTGAAAAGGGCACTGCCTGGCAGATGGCAGTTGCTTTGGTCGCGCGCGCGTCCAAGCAGAATATGCGGCCAGACGAAGTGTGCATCAGTGCTATGTTGAGTGCCCTGGAAAACTGCAGCCGAAGCTCGGCCTTAGTTGAAGGGCTGCATCGCATTCCTCCAAGGATAAGATTCTGTCAGCTCATACTAGCAAGCTGTATATGCGGTGCACTGTTTGCTCAAGGATGGCAAGCTTCCGTGTCCTCCATATCGATGATGCCTCCAAGCCGGTTAGCCCTAGACACGATCGCCTGCAGCAGTGGCATCAGCGCCTGCGAAAATGCTTGCCGCTGGGGAGTTGCGGTGGCTGCTTGCATGCATTTTCAGGCTAGAGCATCCTCTGCATTGCGAAAAGTTTCTCCTATGTGTCAACTATCAAGCAGATGGCATCAGGACAGGTGTGTTCAAGTATTCCAAATCTAGATGCCTGGGGTACTGGCCCCGCAAGGAAACTCTTGTCTGCAAACTGGATTCTAATTATGGGCGGACAGAGCCAAAAACAACAAAGTCCCACGCCAGAAGGCTGACTTACCATCATTCTGGTTGCTGCTAGATGTGCGGTCGGTAGGCCCAAGTGCCATGCAGCAGTCAGAAGTGCAGCAGCAAGAAATTCAGAAGCTTCTAAGTAGCCATATCAGCTGTCAAAGAGTTCAGACACGTACCCTAAACCCTAACCCCCAAACCCTATATAACCCCATTTATAGTAGTTTCCATGTATTTTCCATTTAAATTATATAGCCCCAATATAATCCCTATAATACTCTAGTAGTTTCCATTTTCTTTTCCATTATCCCTATATAACCCCAATATATACTGCCCCAATATATCCCCTACATAACCCCTACATAAATTATGTAAACCCTATAGTCCCAATAGTTTCCATTTTCTTTTCCATTATACAAATATTACCCCAATATATATTGCCCCCAATATAGTAAAATTATGTAACCTCAATATAACCCTAAAATAACCCCAATATAACCCTAATATTACCCAAATATAAACCCCCCCAATATAGTAAAGAAGAGCTCTTCAGGCACTCCTGCGGCGCATCAAGGAATTGAGCCTTGTGCCATCAACCATCACGCTACTGGGTTGCTGTTAAGGA